AAAAAAAATGAATTATACTTATCTTTCCAAAATAACTAAACCGCTGTACTTGAATTAAACATTTGAATTTGAAGTACGATAGTTTGCAGAGATGATCATCTGAAAATAAAATTTGGATATTTAAATACCATTAATTTTTATAAATAAACTAAAATATCTATTTACATATGCCTCTACGTAATTTAGTACCTATAACGTATTTACAAAAGTCAATAAACCAATATTTTGAAGATATTCCAAAAACGCCGTCAGTTTTGAAAAAAATTGTAAATATGTTATTCGCTGAAAACTAAATATTGTATGCTAGTATGAAGTTATAAAGTATGAAAAATATTTAACAAAAACAAGTATAGATACATCTGTAATGAAGAATTTCAAGACTTCTTTTTCATTAGTACGTTAAGGGAACGTTTTATACTCATTTAAACTCATTTTTAAATTAATAAAACTATCATCGTTATAGTCACTCGACATTTCTAATAAGTATTCGCTAATAGTAATCTAATCTAGGTCTACCTCTGCCCCTTTTTTACTCCTATTCGTACTTCTAAAATGTCTCTAATTAATCCTTCATGTTTCCTACTCTTTCTAATACCTCATTGCTAATCTATTTTACAAATAAAACATAAGTAAATAAAATGCGAAAAATCTTTCTTTTTCGTAAAAAGTCTTTCTTATGTAGGATTTAGTTCATTCTATAATACTTAGGTGTATTTAACATGCTCCCTGAATTACATAACTAAGAAATGTAGCATTATGAGATTTCTAATTTCCCCATTAAAGAAATCAGTGGTGTGATAGATAATATGGTGTAATATGTTGGTAGGTATTGCATATATATGTATTATAACACATAAAACTAAACTAACATTTTTGATTTTCTATGAAAGCCCTTTAAATTTTGTACCTAGGCATACAAGATTCAGAGGGACTTATTGTTCCACTGTTCCACCACATCGAAAAAAGGGCGGTATTAATGGTTTAAACCAGTGTTTCCCAACCTTTTTGTCCACGCGAACCAAAAGAAAAGTCCGAAAAAATTTGACGAACCCCCTATGTAGGCGTTAATGACAGGTAAAAAAAGCAATAAAATTTGATAGAATATATACTTTTTCATATTGCATAATAATTGAATCGTGAAATATTTAAATAAAACATTAATAAGACTAAAATGATGTAAATGTAGTAAATTGCCTTAATTTGATTATTTCCAATTGTATTGTAAAAAAAAATATTACACAGAAGGGA